TGACTAAGTTGGCTAGCCTTCTTCTTAATAATTTTAGGCTTGCCACTGAAATATAATCCAGTCAAATCAAGGGCTTCGCTTGCTACAGCTCCCAAAACAGCCAATACATTGGCCGACTTGCTTTAACATGGAAAATAGAAAGTAATGTGAGTTCAGATCAAAGGTGGGAAAAAAAAAAATCCACAACAATTTACCTCTTTGCAAACTTATGGAAATCCCAATGGATGAATTTGAGATGATTTTCTTCATGAAAAATTGAGTTTAGATAACCCACTGCATTTGCAAACTCACGTCTTAGTACCATTTCTCTGGGCCTTTTCTCAACTGTCTGCATATTTTCATGGATATTTGTCTATAAGTACAAAGGGCATAATCATCTCTTGCTTAAACAAGGACATTAAACATATAAAAACCGACCTTTATTAAGTTGAGCACGATAATCGGGTTCCCATATCGATTCACCAGGTCTTCAAAATGCATTTTGGTTGACTCGTATGTAGGGTCATATCGCTGTACTGAAGCCAAAAAGCCAGAATAAAAACATCAGGACTAATCCATAAGAAGCTAAGTAGATCAATATCCTCATGCACGTTAAAATGGTCTAATAGAGATAACAGACGCATGTTACGTTAGTTTCTCACAGAAAATATCAGGCTTAGGACTAAATCTGGAGGCCTCTTGCGACCAAAAGAGTGGAATTGACCCTCGCATCTGCACAACTGAGCTCATTTTTCCCTTGCATGACCCAGCTTCATCATCAAGAACAAGTTGTTCAGTTTCAACATCATTTGCAACCCTTCCACGATCGTTCACTCCCCTTTTCAAGTAACTGCGACGAATGTTCACAGAATTAAAAAGTGCCATATGTTTTAGAAAAAACAATAGAGATAAGTATTTAAAGTAGTCTATAATAGTTCATGCCACTCAATACTGTGCCTGTGTTCCCATCGCCGTTATTAAAAAGGAAAGTTCCCAAAGATACAGGATAACTAAGAAAATAGAAATAGAAAATTGAAACATTCGCCATGAATTCGTCATCCATGAAAGGCCTAATTAGAATGAATTCATACCGTGTGCCTGCAAAGTGTCTAGAACGTCTAGAGACTAGAGTAACACTGAAGTCTCTTCCATATATCGACAGCCTTATCTGCATGATAAAGTAAACAACCAAATAATAAGGACCCATTTAAAATCTCTTCGTGGTAAACCTAGAAATACTGGTGAAACCACAAGAGCCTATGAATACCTGCTTAAAATGCCCATGAACTAACGCCAGTGTCCAAATAGTGTTGTTGCACCTTGATCGAATAGGCTCTGTCAGATACGCATTCCATACAAATATGTTGTCATAGGGCACCCCTTCCTCACCAGATGATAAAACATTCTTTTGCAAGCTCTGCATTATTGGATAAGTGTAACTGTAGAAGAAATCTTTTGTCAAATCTACACTTGACAGAAGCTTCTTGTACCTGCAAATAAAGAAAAGACAAAAAGAACTCTGTGAAAATATATAAGGTGCAAAAGTTGGAATAGGAACCGAGACTCGCTTAAAGTAATAGCCAAACTTCAAAGGGAAATCCAAAATCCCGGAAACAGACCTTAGTTCAGTTTTGGAATTCGCAACATCAGATTGAATAGTTGCATGTGGAACACTGATCATTTGACTTTCATCAATAGCATATATCGCATGCCCGCATATACATCCAATTTGTCTTCGTTTTGTCACCAACACTAAATAATATGACTCCATAAACTTAGCACAACCTACACGGAAAAAAGTTCACCTAACTCAGCTCAAAAGACAAAATCCAAAGATACAAACAAGACAATCATAGAGCTTCCCCACGACTAACCAGCAATTCCATAGACTTTAGCCACAAAAGCCAATCCCCCGGTGGCACGATTGCCTTCAGCGATACGCTGAAGCAGACTCTTAATTTCTTGAGGCGAGTACACAACAGGATCTTCACTAATGTTAAGCTCAGATGGCTCTGAACGATCAATCTTTAACACTCTGAAGAATCTTTTATTCCTATCACTCCCAACTAGATAAAACCTCTGCACAAAAATAAACAACAAAGAGATTCAAAATTTCCTGCAATTCAATCTAGGATTGCCTTATCGATTCCCATCATTCCAAATTCCCAACACACAATTTTCTCATCAGATAGTGCCTAAGTGATGCTAAACCAAATGAGAAACTATAGGTTCTGATGCAATCTTCCTCATCAATCAACCATTTCCGAATCGATTAAGCTTACCGCTCTGGTTTCGTAGAGCTTAAATTTCTCGAGGGCGTAGGAATCGGCATCGGACTCCGCATCGTTGGAGGGTTGAATCTTGGCGAAAGAGGAGAAGCTAGAAGCCGTTGAGTTTTCCGATTTAGCCATATCGGAACCGGATCAATCTCTATCTCTGGAAACGATCGGATTCACTGACGCCGGCGATGGTCTCAGACGATCATCTGCGATCCGAAGTTGAGAACAGACAAGGGGCGTTTCCGTACTTTTCTAGTTTTCGATCGTGTGTTGTTGTTTAATCCTTTGTCCCTTTCTTATTTTCAAAAAATAATATCTTACTCTACATTAATTAAAGTGTGATAAAGAAAAAATATCATATATAGTATTTTATAATTTATAAATTACAAAAGATAAACAATTACATATTCAAAAATTGAGATTTTATAATACGTACGCATTAATCCATAAAGTAATATTTATTTGAATATAATTGAGACTGTTCAAAAATACAAAGTATAAAATGTAATTTGATAGTGCTTATCAATTAGATAAAATTGTTACCCTTAATTTAATTTGTGTTAAGCCCATCCTTGAAAATATATGTCCTACAAATTATCCCTTGTGCTGACAATTTTACCCTTCCAACCAGTTTATATAAAGGTTTGATTGACTACTATTTTTTATTTTCTTTTTTAATGGCTTTCATCTAAAAGAATACAAGTTTAAATAGACACAAAAATTAACTGATATGCACATTAATTTATACAATTAGATAAAAAAATATTTTGAGGTACAAAATATATGTTATACCATTCTTTACTAGTATTGTAGAAAAACAAATATAAAATATGATAATTGATAAATAACTTAGAGCATGATTAATGGAAGGCTGTTAGCTTTTGTTCTTAGGTATATTTTAGGATTAAAATTTAAAAGTTAAGAGTTAAGTGATTGTTTTTTGGTTTTTAGTTTTTTGTCAATATATTGGTAGGCTCTTAACTTGGTTCTTAGGGGGAAAAATATTTAAAAGAAAAATTATTAAATTTAAATAATTGGAAATTTTTTATTTTATATAACATAATAATTATTGCAAATTATTTTTTTTAAACATACATAAGATACATAAATAACATAAAGCACAATAATTTTAGTGTTGATTTCTTGAAAATTTTGTGATGTATCTCCATTTTGTGCCTCGCATTCAAACAGAACACCATGTGTTAGCACTTTGAAAAACAATTATAAGACAAACAGACAAACAATGACTCAAACTGTAAGAACAAAAGAGCACATTTTCAGATCAAAAGAAACCTTACAATCTTTTGCTAATAATCACTACTAAACAAACAAACATGAGGAACTTACCGTTGGTTTTTAGAAGAGGACAAGAACCTTGCTGAGAGCATCGATGAGGGACTTACCGTTGGGAAGATTGGAGGAAGAACAAAGATTGTAGAAGGAGAGTGTGCCCATGTGAAACCTTACTTGTATCAGGTCCAAATTGGAAAGCCATAAACTATGTGTAGGTGTTTCTTTAGCTGGCTTCACGATTGTAGTTTGCTTTACCCGAATCTTCATTTGACTCAAAGTTGAGGCTCCTGCTTTACAAGAAATCC